GCACAAACTTCACTGTGGCAAGGAACATCTTTCTGCAAATAGTGTTCCCGCACAACATCAAGAGGTCGGCCTGTTTTCGTTTTTAACCTTAATGGCTTATTAGTTTTGATCATATTTCGGCGTTCATGTATATGAAACAACGGCCATTTTTAAAGTGAAACTACAACTTGAACTCGGCGCCATTTTGTTGATTACATATCCCAACAGCACTTGCTAGTTTTAACTTTTGATTGGTATCCTGTTACCTCGATACCTCGGTCGCAAACAATTACTAAATGCGCATTGGTCAGTTGAATTATGGTTACATCTGGTATTTCTCGCTTTAATATAAGTTCGCATGTTGTTGGAACCGACAGGTTCCGATGAAAATACGTTTGCAAAGTCGTTGCTTGTAATAAGGTAGTTGAGATCCATTAAAAGGCTCTTAACAAGTGGATAAATCGTTTGAGGCATGGGCAGCCCTCTATTACAGTAGACCTCACTTGATACTTTGTTTGTGAAGCAGCGTTTGCTCTACTGTGCTGTGCACTTCTGCTTTAATACTAAATGTTACCTAGTTCATATTTTGGTATACCTGGTAGTTGAAACGTACTTTTAAACCTATTATTTTCGTTATTGTGTGTGTGTATGTGTGTGTTTTTTTTCCAGTTACCACTGAAAGACCCTAATCTATTTTTACTTTGACCACTTCTGTAATTTTCGAGCTTGTGGCCAAAGTAAGAGGACCAGAGGTTTCAAAGATATAACTCTTTTTTATTTACTAAATATCAATCAAGGGTCGCCATTTTGACACGAAGTTTACGAAAATTATTGCCGTTGTCATAAATTCGCTCGCGCTTAAATGACAGTGCCTGAAATTGAATCTGATTGGTTTATCACATCGCGCGCGCTTGACTCTCTTTTGTTATGTCACAATCTGCACAATCCATTCGCATGAAAATACTGTCCAGAGAGACATATATTTTAAAGTGCGTAAACTTTGTTCACATATAACCCAGCAAAAGCTTAAAATGGGTTCTGCTTTAAGTTCATACAAATCCAAAAGAAGAGATAAGAAAGAATACAAGAGGTGAGTAAACATTTTCCTTCCGCTTGAAGGAAAACATCCAGATGCTCTTGCGACTCGATTTCGTTGTCCATGGAAATTGATCACATCGTCTATCTTGTTCAAATTTGTATACTTTTTTTCCGTCGAGTAGGAAACTGAGAGAGCAACTTAAAGAAGCACAAGAACACATAGCTCGT